TCGTTGCACAGCGTAAGGCACGAAGCACGACGCGTCGATCGAATCGTCCCAACGAAATCCTTCTTTGACACCCCGGATGCACAGCTGCTGGACTCGAAACGAACCACTCTGTTGAACTTTCGATGATAGCGGTGGAGATCGCGAGGCGGTAACGATACCAACAACAAAACCGATCAGAGGTACGCGCGACACTGACCGCGCGGCGCGGCGCGACCCTCTATATAGCCTCCCCACCACCGCGAGTCGCGGCCAATCGGCGTGCGTTCAGCTGGCGCGGCGGCTCGGCGCGCAGATACGAAAAGTGGTAGCGCGCTCGCTGGTGCATCAGTGTCGCCGTGACCTTCGAACTCGGAGGGTTGTGTCTAACGCGATGTGAATCGACCGCGAGAAGGGATAGAGAGCCGATCATTGGAGATCGTCGGGAACGAAACGACGCGAAAAGCACCGGTGGTAGGGCACGGAGGCTGGATGTACGCGAACTACGAGTTCGATCGACCCGTGATTGGCCGTCGCGGAGATCCCCTTCGTCCACGGGATTTCGAATTGTCCGCGATCTTCTTTTAAGTGTCATTCCTGACCTGCACGCGACGAACACTGTTGAATGTACATTAGAGAGATGGGAATGTATTAGAATCTTTTTATGGTTTGATTGTTTTGGAGCAGCCAATTTTCTATCGACACTTGCGATACAACGAATCCTTCTGTTTTTATAATCTCTTCAGACTTCATCAGCGACGAGTTCTGTTTATACATGTCATCCATTTTCTTTTTGCCAATTCCCAATAACTCGATAAAACGAATGACGGCTTTGACGATGCCGAAACTGTTTTCGAACTTTCCGTGAACCACGTTAATTGGACGACGATTCGATCGACTTTGGATCCAGGACGTGGCGCGATCGTTAAAAAATTAATAGTCGTCCGTGTTTTGCGAGTTTACAGCGAGTTCGAGCCGCGATTTCGTTCCTCCTTATAAAATTTTTTAAAAAGCCACCACGACGTGCTAATTCGCCTAACATAGCGCGTTTCGCGTGGATCCGAACGAAACGTATCCTAAAACGTTTCAATATTTGATTCTTAACACCTCGCGGGTCGGGATCGCGTCAGCGTGTGTTTTTTTGGCACGTTTCGAGAACCGCGGCCGAGCGGATGCGTAAATTCTGTCGCGTTGCCGTAAATATGCCTCAACGTGTCCGCATCAACATTTGTATTACATTTTATTTGCCTCTGTGTAATTATTTAATCGCGTTACATCACTCGAGAACGTGCACGAGAGAAAAGCACCGCTAGCAGCGTTCTCGGAAAACCTTCACCGGTCGTTTACCGAGTTCCACAAAATCCTAATTCCAAATTTCTCGTGGGAAGTATTCATTCAGAGAACGTGGTACGTGTTGGGAAAATGATTGCTCAGAAACAAAGTTGTGGAAAATCGGTTGGCAGTTTGGGGAACCACCAAATTTGATAGAAAGAAAAGAGAAACGTAATACAAGTTATTTTCTGGTTAGTTAATGAGTTTCGTTGATACGCATATACCTATTATTATCGAAAATAAAATATAAAAACACGCGAGGAAATTGTATCCGAATACGTCACTGCGTTCGTTATTTGTACCCATATATTAAATGATAAAGAAGAAGGTATCGGAGGAATTCCTATTTTCTTCTTAGAGTCGAAAAGCCACGCGATAGCCGCGACTAACGATCAACGAGACAACGCGCGAGTGTCGCTGCTGGCAAGGTGACGGATCTGCACTTCCATTACGTGATTCGTAACGAGATGGAAAATATTCATGGGCGAAACCTTTTTTTTTCCCTCTTGCAGACCATTCGCAGCATCCGGCGTCGTTTTTATGTAAATTTTTCTAATTGCGCCCCGAAGCTTTCGGGCGAGTTTTTTTCTCGATGGTCGCCGTTTCCTGGACGCGCACCAGGTCACAGTGTTATTATTCCCGCTGCATTGCGCAGTTGTCGAAGGTAGACTCTAATAAACACAAGGTTGCAAAAGTGATTCATCGAATTGAGGAATTAATTATCATCTATACATGGTGCCTGGATCATTTTGGGCACAAGGGAAATTTGAGACCTCGAGTGGAATAGACACGGACAAGTCAGAGAAATCTGTAAATCGATTTTAACATACGAAATATACAATTCCAGTTTAATATTTTTCGATAATTTTGATATAAAAGCAATCGTACGCGTAGGCACGAGTCAGTAATCCCGGAGAGGTTAAATAACAATGAATTTTAACGCGGGATCGTTCGACGACAACTCGTGAAAAATTGTTTTAATCTCGTTGTACACGGGCAGCCGAACTCTGGCATTGTAAATCAGTGGCAGGCGTCGGCGTCGGTGGCAGCATCGCGTTCAGCCGCGTCCCGACGCCATTAATTTCGTCGGAGCACGATGATGGAGCCCAGGGTTCCTATTTGCGACTACGCGAAAAGAAAACGACCGCTTAGGAGAGGCAGAATCGTAGAAAGGAAAAGAAACGAGGGTACGTGAACAGGCATCGGCGACGCGGAGTCGCGTGTAAATTTATCTCCACCGCGAACTGCACGCGCCTTTCTTCGGGCGAGCGAACTTTCCATGTGCACCGTTCGCGCCTCGAATCGACCAGTCCGCGTCGAGGCGAATCGAGAATCGAAGCGGTTGAAAAGTACGCGTGTAAATCGTAAAATAACATAGGTAGGACGCCAGCTTGGATTTGAACGGTTACACTCAAATGTTGCCGACGTTATTTATTAAAGATAAGTACTTGACTGGCGAAGGTAGGACTCGATTGAATTTTAGTTCGAGTTAAGACTCTCTTACTCAATTATTAAAAGCAAAGCTTGCGAAGCTAGAGAAGGTGGAAACTAATTGAATTTTAGTCTCCCTGTTCTTCGAATTAAGACTCTCCACCTGATGAACACCGCCCTCCTGAAACGATTTCTGCCAACGAACTATGAATACAATGGTGTATCGAATTAAAAGAAGAACACAGAATCTGGAGAAAAAAATGATCTGGATCGCGTCGACGGAAGCGACGGGAACAAAGCGGAAAGAAGACGAAACGATCGTTAATGGCTCGTAATGACGACGGGACGTGAATTGCTCGGCGTAACTGTAATTTGCGCCTTTTTTTCTGCCCTCTTCCTCTCGCCTCGACTGTTTACTTATGTAATGCTTGTGCAATAATTACCGATGTTTAAGCAATTGACCGCCTCCGGCGTTACCGAGGGCAAAAAAAAGGAACGCTCTCGAGCGACTCGAATTGGACGCCGAGATGCGTGGATAAACAATCAATATTTAATGACTGCGCGCTGCCTCGATGGCGATCGTTTAACCTCTCGTTGCTGAGACTCGATGCGCCAGGGTAAAGTAGTTTTATTCTTGTAGGATTTCAAGTGTTAAAATAGAAAGTATTTAATAAATTCTAATAAATTCTAGATTGATCGAAGCTTGAAAACTATGGTAATTATATTTAGGCTCTTTCCTCCTCTGAAATTGATCTATCTTCTTATTATTCTATATACAAAGTCCCCTGGTGAGAATAAGCACAATGTTCTTGTACTTATAACGATTTAAATGTTTACGTCCGTTGGCACAGTCCCCTCCGTAGCAAAGGCCAGTATTACCTGAGGAGGGCATCGGTTTAATGCACCCCCAAAGCGTCTCGGTTTTCCGAGTAAGAACATCGTTTCTGTTTTGTAAAACGCGTACTATTAAACATATACTTGTGTCAAAACTATGTTGTATTTATTTAACAAATAATAATTCAACACCCCCAATTAGGACACCTAACTCACCCAAGAAAGTTATTTTACATACATTAAATTATATTTTCGTTTAATTTCTGCATAATTTTCCTACCACCTGACAAACGTACTCGAAACATCACTCGACAAGGAATGCTCTCCTTGTTCCAATTGAAAAGAAAAGCTCGCCTCGTTCGTCTCAGTTTCGAAAGGAGGAACGGGTCAGTTTCTCTTCGAGTTCGCGCCAAAAATATAAGCCGAATGTGGCTGATCCAGCGGGAAGATTTAGCGGTCGGGTGACTAACGTCCCTGCCCGTTAACGATTCAATTGTTCGGACCACTTGGCGAAATTTAGTCACCGGCCAAGGAAGGGAACTCTCCAGAGAGGAGATCGCGTGCCGTTCTTGGCGCGAACTCCTCGCGACGGTCGCGTGACAAATTACCTCGTTAATTCGATGAACGATTCAATTGGTTTGCTTCGGCCGCGGCCGATTTTCTCCTAATCTCGGCACGGATGCTGAAATCGTGCCTGGAGCGACACTGGTTCACTGGTCGGGTTTTACGAATATTTTTTAAATGTTACAAATCGAACGTGTCGCTAGAATTCTAGCGACCTGTACGCTATTTTCCTAATTTAAATTTTTATTAAACTTTTATTACCGGTGGTGCATTCAGTCTTGTATCTCTAGTAGTATCTCGAGATAACAGAACGTGTATTCGAGCTCGTTCCGCAGAATGGTGAATAACGAGGAGTAAAACTTCTCCAGAAGAAATACAAGTATAGGCTCGTAACGGAATCACATTTAAAACATATTGCCCTCGACGAAGAAATCGTACTCGTGCCTTCTCCTCGAGAAGTTCTACGTAGAGCAAAATAGATTCCGAGAAAATGAGAAAATTGATCGACAGCAGAAAAATGTCACCGCGCCGAGAAAAGTCGGAATTTCGACCAGCGGATGATTGATGTAGCGGCGCAGCCGGAAGTGCTCAACGATTGATGAAGTTTCATCTCTCGTCGAGGACGGAGGGACCGCGCGCGCGGCGATCGAGGAGGAATACTTTGTTTCGAGGTAAGCTTTGGCAAGCGAGTTCCTGGCTGGCTCGCGATAAAAGAAATTGGCAGCCGGGCAGGTGCGTGATACAACCTCTACAGCCCGACCGTGTTGGAATTTTGCCAAAGTTACGCAAACGCGTTGCCAACGACAGCGAGCGTTCAAGTATGATCCGGCTTTACCAAACCGCGCGAGGAACGGAATCTCGAACGGAAAAAGCTTACGCGATTATTCCGCGTGTTTCGTTAAAAAACGTTTATCCCGTATTCGCTGCTTGAAATGTTTACGTAGACGAGAATACCGTATCCATTCGTGATTGTTACGATAATACACAATTCACACGGAGCTATACAGTCCCGTGAACGTGTCTACCGCGCCCTCCTCCTCCTCTTCTTCCTCTTCTTCTTCACCTTCGTCTTCAGCCTCTTCCTCGCCGTAGTCTTCTTGGTCGTCGTACAACCCCTCGAAGATCGCGTCCTCTGCGCCTTCGGGAAAGTACTCCTCGATCATCGCCTGGGCCTCTTCGTCGTCTTCCGTGACGAAATAGGGATGGATGCTCGCGAAGGACAGGAAAGCGTCCTCGTTGATCCTTCGAATGATCACCACGAATATCTCACCGCCGGTCTTGTATCGAACCTTTTTTAATGATAACAAATTTACCTTCCGGCGTCCAGGAGACGATTCAACCCTCGTTTTCAAGGTTCCCTTTCTTTGGTTGTACGGGAAAATTCAACTCCTATTCCAGAATGTAACATACATTGCACATCTATCGAGATCTTTAGGATCATTTCTCAAAAAGATTTCTTCCAACTGAATCGAATTTACCCCTACAATCCTTTCAAAAAACTAAACTCTTTTACACTTAACAAGTTGACTGACAGACTAACAATCGTGCAAATTCTTACGAGCTTAAAAGTTCTTTCTACTATACAATTACAAATGACGTGATATATCATCTGCGGTAGTATTTTTGCGACCTCTTTAGCATTTACTAATACCATCCAAATTAATTTTCTTCGACACCTCGCTTTTAGAATTAATTTATTCGTTCCTCGACGAAAATCCTTGTCACCCAAACGACGCGGCTGGCGTGCCGGTCAACGTGTTAATCGAAGAAATGAATTCTTCGTTGAAATATGAACTCGAATTAACGAGACAGTGAGACAGACAGTTTCGGTAGACCTTTTTCTCGAAGTCCTCGGGACAGGAGACGATCCGCCTGGCCAGGAGCGGTTTATCGAACTCGAAAACGCCGAAATACTCGACGGCGTCCGGGAACAGGGCGCAGGCGTCGCGGACGTCGTCGAATCTCGAGTAATGGAACTTGAAGGCGCAGTATGGCGGCGGGGGCACTGGCTCCTCGTAGGGGTGCACCATGTCCATGTATCGGGTGAAGAGGGTCGCGTACATGTGCACCTTGTTCCTCGCCTAATTCGAATATCCACGATTGCACGAAAGAGTCTATAATACTCGGGCTCGTCGAGGAGTACCTGAGGAGGAACCCAAACCGCGGGATCGACTCGATGGAAGTCCTCCTCGTCCTCGGGATCTGGCTCGTGGACGTGGACGTACTTCTCCATGAAGGACGCCTGGTTGCCGTGCACGATGGGACTCTCGTGAAGCAGGGGTGTTTTGCTGGTGATCAGATGCACGAGGTACTCCTCGACGTCGTTGATTGCCCTCGTGGGGCATCGTTTGGCCCCTTTGGGGCACTCGAACGGATAAGGCACTGGCCAATCGGGGTGGGGTCGTCTACCTCTCAGTCTCATCGCTATGGTCCTGCCAGCGGTTAACCCTGGGGTGAGGATAACACGATATGGTATACAGTATTGTCTCGAAATAAGCAACTCGGTCGGGATCGGCGAGTTGCTTATTTCGAGGGAGGTATGGTATTCGGCTTGACTTTGTTCTTGAGCGAGACGCGGGGGAACCCGTAGAAAAAACAGGGGGTTCCATGTAGCGGCAAACTACATGCAACTGACAGTATTGTTTCGGAGAATACACGCGTCAGAGAAAGAGCAAACGTTACATATGTTTTGTGTTCTTTCCACTAATCTGTTCGACTTCGACGCCGAGGACTCCGGATCACCCACCAGCGATCAGTTCTCTCGTGATCTCGATGTTGCTCTCGACGAACATGTTCTCGATCATCTCCTCGGTGAGCTGGAGTCGCTGCTCCTCGAGAACGTCGAAGTTCTGCTTGAAGAGAACGGTCGTCAGCTCGATGTACGGAGGGCTCTGGTACTTGTCCTGGTGCCTGCCCTCGGCGTCTACGAAGACCCAAGGGTAGAAGACCAGGGCGGTCTCCTCCGAGAGCTCGAAACTCATTTGTGCCAGGTACGCCTCGTACTTCTCGCGCTTTTCGGCCTCCTCTTTGGCACGCTCCATATCCTCTTTCGCTTTCCTTGTTGCGAAATTTTGCAATGAGAACCACGGCTCGTTTCATTCGATCGATTTACTGTCTTTTATAATATTTCTACCAAATTAACTTAAAAGTAACTTTTAACTCTTTGCACTCTTTAAGCTCGTACGATTTAACTCGTCTTGAGCACGACAAGAACAAAATAATTTGACGAGTATACTCGCGCAGAGCACCGAAAAGGTTAATCCGATTCCTGTTTGCACATTTTGCAACCAGATAGTGCAGAGTGCAAAGGGTCAATTCCGAAACAAACGTGGCAAATTTGAAAAGTTTGTGTCGGGTACCTAAGCTCCAAAAGAATCACGAAAATTGCATCGAAGCTGGCCAGAAAAAAGAACGTGAATCTAGACTAATCCAATGGCTGATTAGATTCTTGATCACGCCAACTATTTACCTGATGGCCTCCTCCTTCTGCCATCGGGCCTCCTCTTGTGGAGTGCGAGTGCTCACGTTAAGTCTCATCTCAGGTTCCTCTTCCCGCTGCACCCTCCGAATCTCCCACGTCAGCAGCTTCCTCAGGTTAGGACAGTTCGCCCCGAACATCAGGTTCACCATTTTCCCGTCCTGGATGAACATCCACACGGGCTCGCTCCTCCCACGGAATCTCTCGAGATCAGCGATGTGGTCGTTCTTGACGATGGCGTAGTTTATGGTGTCACCACCGATCTCCAATTTGATTTTCCTCAGGGTGCTGACCATGGCGATGCAGGGACCGCACCACTCGGAGTACACGTCTGCCAGGGTGAGACCTTTGCGCTCCAGGAGCTGGCTCCATTCCTCTTCCGTGTTTATCGAGGCTTGGAGAGCTACCTGTTCCTTTCTGCCTGGTCTAGCCACTTTGGGAAACTTACGTCGGAAATCTTACGTGGAATACGTGGAAATCTTAACCTCTTCGAGACGTATTATGCGTTGTCGATACGCGAGGATCGCTTGTGGCTAGGTTCCGGTATCTCGGAGTTTTTGGTTAGGGATTTCAGCCAGAAGAGATTCTATGGGCTTTGTACCAACCCTATTTATTTCAGAACAGAGTCTCAAAGTTTCAATTCCTAATGCCTCGCAGAATCCATAAGAAACTATATTCAGATTTTGAACTCAGCTGAACAAAGGCCAGCAGCCACCTTGGCAACCACTCGAGAGGAGGCCGCCATTTTTTAATAACAAATCGACTCGTGTGAAAAATAAAAAATATCAGTCTATTCTACTAACTGTGACACTTTATTCGCCACAAGCCAAAACTATTCCAATGCGTTGGTCCGCCGCAATTAATTCCCAAATTACTCCGTTTCACGCTTCCAAGATGGCGTGACCCTTCAATCTCGACGCGTTCCGTCGTCGCGTTGCTCACCTTTCCCGCGTCGTTTGGCGCCGCAAGAGATATTCCTCCGCGGGATATTTCCAGCTTCCGACGACGGATGCAAACGGCGGTGGCCGGAGCTTAATGGGCCGAGATATATCTCGCGGCTGAGCGCGCAAAAAGAGAGGCAGCGCGCGTTTCTCGCATCCTGCAAGGAGAGAAGCGCGAAGAGATCGAGGCCGACGATAACGTCGTCGACGATTTCAGCTTGTCGTCGCGGACGACGATCCTCTCGTTTAGCCTTTCGGCCCTAATTCGTGTCTAGCCGCGATAATTAGTCCGTTCGTGATCGTCGGACAAACCATCGTCGCGTTTCGCAACAGTTGCCCCTCGAAGTAATCTTGAAAAGCCAGATTGATCCCACGGGGATCCAAAATGCGTCTAAGAGATTTGTGAAGGGTGCTAAAATTTGACAAATTTTTGAGGGGGAAGCGAGTTCTTCGAACAATTAGAATGGCTAGTATGTTAAAATTCATAATATTTAAACGAACTTGAGGTCGAAAAAGAGGATATACAGTCAGTTCTATAAATATTCGTACCATCTATGTCTATCAGAGAAGTTTTACTAAGGTAAATATAAGTTTTGATATTACAAACATACACTTTGAAACATCAAATATGCCGTTTAATTTAAACAAATGTCTTCGATAGACATAGAGAGTACGAATATTTATGGGACTGACTGTACAATGTGTGTCTTCCAATAACAGCCTTTTTAATCGTGAAACTTGAATGGTTTGTCTTAGTAGGGCTAATCCGAGAAAAAATGAAACGTTCTCCAGACTTGTTGGAGAACAGTCACAAAGCGTTTCTCCGTGTGAATCACTTGGGCGTCGTCGCGACGTTTTTTTCGCTCGACATTTCCCAGAAGTCGTCGCTCACGAGCGCTGCCCACGTGCACCATGCACTTGCGGGCTCGAGTATCGAGAGGAATCGAGGATCGAGCGACACAGAGGCGACGGTCGGCGATGATTCGAGTGGGCCGATCGGCGGAAAAAATCGCTCGTTTTGCATTCAGAAGCGGATTGCGTTTTCCTGGAGATTTAAATTCCAGATTGAAGGAATAGTAAATCGGAATGGTACCGTGAAACGAGCAGAGTAGCAACGGGAATTTATATTATTTATTTGCTTGCTTGTTTCGATGATTGAATGGACCGATTTTCACACAGTTCTTCAATTTTAAATGGGACGCTATGTGAAAATTGTTAACGTGGAAACCGTGGAAATATCTCCTTCTATATCGGTACATTGAACAGTAGGAAGCGCGACGATGTCAATTCCGATGTCGTAACAACGAATTTCGACGCCTCTTGAATTTCGTTTTCATCAGCAATGAAAACGAACTCGTTTGAACCCAGAAGTAGTTCCCATGTTATCGCAAATTCCAAGTTCTTTCCATTAGTCAGCGCTTGGATTAAAAGTATTTATGATTGCACGTGGTGCCTTTAGCTGACTCCACTTTCTTCGATTTTATTTGACCTTTCCCCAGGGATCTATCTCCGTCTGCCTTATTTCATCATGTTTCAATTAAACGTTCAATATTTATATCAGGTATGAACAAATCCGAGCATTTGAGTCAATGAAGATTTTTATAAAAAGAACAGCGATTGCTCCTCCATGATTTTTTGCCTTCTCTTACAAGGAAAACAAGAAATAATACCGTTTCTAACATCATTTACTCGTTTGCCGAGCGTATTTTCACTTTAGGTATACCATCCTATGAAGATATGGTCGCGTCGGCCTCAATTTCCTGCATTCACCGTTAAACAACCCAAGGCCCATAAACAGCAATCAGTGAATCGTTAGATTAGGTGCATCGTTTCCCTCGATTGAAACGCCATCTCAAAGATGAAACTCGCTTTTACGGCACTCTAACTCGGAACGAAAATAAACCTTCGAGGCGACATCCTAATTATCCAACGCTGCAGAAGTTGACCTAAACTGCAGCAACAGATTAAGTGTCAGGGAGACCGAAAAGTGATCGAAATGTCTTAGGCTTGGAAAAGTTTCGCAATGAAAAATTGAATGACTTTTTTTTAAAAAGGAGACCAACTGCCTTTATGCTAGCAAAAAGTTTTAGAAAATTATGGAAATTATCTTGTTGATTAGCATCTGATTTCTTTAATAAATAAATGTTGATGAAATTTTGATTACTTTTCGGTCCCCCTGATAGTTTAGCTATGTGCCTCCAACTACCATTAATTACAATCAAATAAAGTTCAAGACTTTCGTTCCCTGAATCTACCCGAAGGCCTACCAAGTGCTTACTTTGAAAATTGAATCGCTACCGTCACCTCGAGGGACAGATCGTCTTTTTCAAGAACACAGAGTTCCAAGAGTGGCAAGCGGTTCCAGGCTTGGACACGTCGCCGTCGGCCGCGCGCAAAGAGGACGCGGCTAGCACCGATCCCGGAGCTATAAAGACAAATAGTGACGAAACGAGCCCAACGAGGCCTAATGACGCGTATTTGCATCGGTCATTAAGACGGGGCCGAGAAACTGCAGCCTCCGCGGGGTAAACGTCGGCTGGGACAAAAGGACGCACCGCCGCTAAAGTGACGCTTATCGCGAAAGCCCGTTTTCTTGCGCAATTCTCGCGCCGCTTCTGGTTTCCCATTTCCCCATCGGCGCAACCCCGTTCCCAGCCGCCCCGCAGGGTCGTTGGCTCTACTACTCGAGTGCCTTTTTGCCTATTTTGCAATCGAGGCGTCCATAAATGTTTCCTAATTGTATTTTACGACGGAAGACGATCGCGCGAGGTGAAACGTTGCACGCTTGGGGGACCACTCAAACGTTAACATCAAATATTTATTCAGGAATCAATTGTCTCTCGTGTAATTTTTATTTCTCACCTATCCAGAAACTTTTCCAACTGGAAGAACCCATTTCATTATAACGCGCGTACGACGCTTTCGACGAGCGACATCGGTCTCTGGTACCACGGAGAGAAACCAGGACGAAGGTTATTTCGAGCTTTCGGTTTTCGTTCCCCGATCTATTTTCCCCGAAGAAAGAAAAACAAGAGGCGAGCGGTAAACGAACCATGTCGAGCCAACCTCGACTGTCACCGCGATATCTTTTGATCCGACGCGACGGATCCTCGAATTTCGCCAGTCCACCCAGTTCTGTCGATCTTCGGTGTCGGCGATCGCACGGGAAACGTCGGGTGTCGTTGAACGTTCGAATGCCGTAGCATCGGCGATTACCAGAGTTTCCTGGCAGCGGGGCAGGATCGTAAGTGGAACAAGCTCCGTTCCGAGAACTACGAAAGCGGACCTGTTAAGACACCTGTGAGAATGTCGTATTGGCCGTTGCGGGCTCCCAAGATCCTGAGGAATTTCACCAAGAATTCGCGGCTCGAATCTCTGATGCAAGAATTTTATTTTACATTCTAATTGTCCACGTATTTGTGGATTTATCAACAGTTTCATTCGTTCCATAATTTCGTGAATGATTGGTGACACTGGTTTGGTTTGGTTTGGTTTGGTTTTATTTGGTTTGGTTCAGCATTACCAAGTGTGTAGGTACACGCAGTCGGAAGTGGCGTTCAACGTGGTTAGAAAAAACTTCTCAGGTTTTTGTTTTGTGACTGCGGATGGATACTTCAAAAATTAGTATCAAGACAGATATATGGTTTTTCTCATATTCGTATGACGAAAATGTCGTAGATTTAATTAATAAATATTTTACTGCAACTGATGTTGATATAGTCTCTGGAGTTCTAACGTGTGTACTACCCTTATAATCACAATCGTACGTATATATTGGGTTGTCCAAAAAGTTCGTGCCAATTTTTAAGAAACATTCAAAGACACGTTTGAATTTTGATATATATTTATTGAATTATGTGTATAACATTTCGTTCCACAACTTTTCCATCTTTTAAGGGGATGTCCACATGTTATTTGTTTTCAACCATTCCGATATATACAGACCTGTCCTGCTTACTAAAAATCGGCATGGACTTTCCAGACAACCCAATACTAATATGATTATATCGATAAATGCATAAAATTCGCAGTCCGCCAATACAAATTTTACACAGACTATACATACATGATTTTTGCGATTCTAAAACGAATACTACTTTCATAATAATTAAACGACCGAGGCCTAAGAAGACCGAGGACGTCATTATTTAAATAAGAGAAGAAACGAATAGATTTCCATCGCACGCACCGCGCCTCCGGCGCAGGAAGGAGGCCATTTTCTTTCTTTCCGTCGCGCGCGCGGGTAGCCGGGGGATTCCAAGTAACGAAGCTGGGACTTTCCTCGTTTCTCCCAAGTAAGTACAGCAAATCGTGTCACGCGTGCATCGCACGATAATCGCGAGGAGTGAGTCATACGCGCTTTCGATTAGGCCCGCCCCACGGGGCGAGCGTCGCACGACGATTATTAATGCGTTTCGTTCACGAGACGACGCAAGCAAGCGCAGTAGAATCTCCATTAACCAGTCCTTCTGTTATCCAAACGGTGTATTTATACATCGGGGGCCTCTTTCGAAGCTTGAAGATGTCTTTTTTTTTTTTCATTTTTTGCTGCACCGTTAAACTTCCCTTTTCGATCGGTCGATGAGAATTTATTTCGCGATGCCTGAAACTCGTTTCGAACGTATAATTATGTAAAAACCGAGACAAACGAAGCTATATGGACTCGAGGCGAAGCCAACGCGTGTCCAAATCGCGACACGTGTGCCTGAGACAATGGTGGCACCGAAGCGCATGTGCTCTAATCCTAACGCATGTGCTCGAATCTTAGCGCATGTGCTTTCGATAGTGTAGAATCCAATTAAAGGTATAAATGATGTTAACAGTCCTTTCTTTCTCCTTTAGAACCCATCCCGCTTAAGACACATGTGCTGCAATTTTAGCACACGTTCTATACCAAGTGAAAATTAGAGAATGGAAGGCACAAAATTACTCTCTCTCTACATACTTTCACCGAAATCGATATTTCAAGCTTTGGCTCGCATCCCTAGACCTCTATTTTCGCGTGTTTATTCCACGCGTGGACGGAGATCGTTTTTCATAAGCGACAGTCGAAAAACATGTTCGAGGAACAAACGTCGTGCCTCGAGCTCTCGTATTACTTTGTTGCTCGTGGCGCGAAGGAAACGGTAGTTCATCACTGACCGTAACAGTAAGTACCACTTCCGAGCACCTGATCCGTATCCATCATCCTTTTGTCTAGAGGCGGTCGAACCCCCACGAGGATTCAACTTACGAATTAATCAAGCCGTGGAGCGACGCGTTCTCCAACGTCACTCGTAATTCTCGTTAGGAGGTCGGATAAATTACAGCGGTTAATTACAAGGATAGCGGACCCTGAGGCGAAGCGTGATCCGTCGACAAGCATTTCTGTAATTTCGTTTCGCGAAGGGGGCGGCGGTCCTGGGATTATACAGCAGAGGATTTTTCGGTTGCTCCAACTCTCGAGCGTAAATGAAGATAGAAGCGTATGTTGTACGTGGAAATTAATGCGGGCTTCGCGGATACAGGCGCAACTGGGTCAGATACTTAAGCCTCAACTGGTAGGTTAGACTACTTGTTAAGTAATAATAGTAACAGTTATTACAGCGCCAAGGTTGTATGCGATATGAATTGATGGACTGAATAATATACGATGTCCACGCGGATAAGTACGCAACCGGGTTGCAAAGTTGTTATTACCATGGCCCACGCTGGCGGGACCAAACTGACGGGCTGCAATCACTTCATCCCCGATGAAAAACAAGCTGGAACGTTCACTGTACTTACGTTAATCCTAGCTTAGCTTCTCGCGAAAACGCGAACGTCACACCTTCTCTAATCGGTCGACGAAAAATTCGACCCCACGCCTTTTACCAAGAGGTACGAATCTTTGCCTGGGATCTCCTAGTGTTGGCAATCTTTCGTAAAAGCATTC